GGGTTCTTGAAAGAAGCCAAACCACTGGATGGAATTGTGACTGTCTATTCAGACAGTCAGAGTGCTATTCATTTGGGGAAGAATCCCATGTACCATGAGAGGACCAAACACGTAGATGTGCAGTACCATTTTGTAAGGGATATGATCTCAAAAGGAGAGGTGAAACTGATGAAAGTCCCAACTGAAAACAACCCGGCAGACATTGGAACCAAGGTTGTAACACTTGCAAATTTCAAGCACTGATTGAACTTATTTCATGTGAGATAGCCAAATCAGAACTAAGAAGGAATATGGAAATGCTTGCTGCACAACAGGAAAACATTGTTGGAAGGACTGCCACAGACTTTAAGGTGGAGATTGTTAAATAAGTGAAGCCTACGACGTCGTTTAAGCCAAGTAAAAACGCTGTCGTTTTGCCTGTTAGTCCAAATCAATCACAGCCATCAAAGTTAAAGAGAATCTGATAGCTCCAGTTCAATACAAGTCAATAGTATAAAAAGGGAACCTTTTTCACGCATTTTGGCAACTGTTCGTGTATTCGGGTTTTCTCTCTTTTCTCTGTAAATACGTTTTGTAAATTGGGTTACGATTCGAGATTCATTCTGGTTCTTCTCTGTGTAAATCGTTCTAGAGTCTTATTTTGAGGGCAGGGTGTTCCTTAAAGGGTATAGAGTATTCTAGTGGTTGAGATTTGCGGGATAATGAGAAGTGAATGAGTGTGTGAATGTTTGTTAACAGTGAAGGAGATTTGTATGTAATCTGTAATCTTTTTGAAGTGATTAATCTTAGTGCAACGAGCTCCATATTCTGGAGTTCAACGTGGATGTAACTTTTTCTATATTGAACAAGCGAACCACGGTAGATCGTGTGTTGTGTGATTTTCTTGATTCTTGCGTTTTCTGTTTTGATCTGAGATTGGTTTGGCAGGTTGATTAATTAGTATTAATTTACAACAAGTTTGATCAAATAAACAATTATCTTTTAAATTTCAGAAATAACAAAAATTTTCCTACCGTTAATTAGCTATTAATATACTGTTAGAGTTTATAACGTGATAGGTGAATGAATTTTTATCTAATTTCCCACCTTTCGAGTATTTTGACACCAAAAATTTAACGATAGATGAAATTATGTTATTTCTCTAACCATATGAGAATTTTGTTATTTAATTATATCTGAGGGGGATTATTGTTAATACCAATATAAAAAGTAGAAACATTTATAAGAGAAAGCAAGTATAATATAATCTCGATATAACTATATTATATAATTTCTATTAAGTGACAAGTGATTAGATGAAGCTAAGTTAGGATTTTGAATGAAAATGGCAGACCATAATACTAAATACCAAACCCAAGGTTGGTAGAAGTTGAATAAAGAAATAGATATTCTCAAGAGGCCAAATTAATTGAACTGCCACACATCCCATATGCATCAAATTAACTCATCTAACTATATATAATCTTAATAATTGATGTGTCCATATCAAATGTAATGAATTAAAGGCATGACTTTTTTGTTTAATTAATGCCTTAATCCATCTCTTTCCTTGTATCATCGAAAATTATTGTCTTTGCATGGTCTTCCTTTTTATTATTAATCATAATTCTAATTAATAAATATGTAACTCTTTTTCTCTGGAAATTTTTCGTGTTATATTTTTAATTTTATATCTCAATTTATGAGTACTTGAGTTAATTAATTCATTTATCTTCATTTCACATCTGAATTCTTGAATAGAATAGTTCCTTCATAGAATTTTATTTAAAATTGTCTTTTTCTATTAATTTGAATGATTTAAAAGACTTTTGTTTGTTTGTTTGTTTTTTTTTTTTTTTTTTTTTTTTTTTTTTTGTGATTTTTCTTATCAATTCTCCACTCCAAAATGGATATGTCATTTTCAAATTATATTATTAAGAATAACAACTTAACACTTTGCTAATATAAGGTAAATTAGGTTGTGTTCATAATTTGAACAGGCAAGCTGAGCTGACTATTTATTAGGGGAAACTATCCCATAGGCCATAGCATCTAACGGCGTAACCCCCAAATGAATCATGAACAAAAATATTATGTTTGTGTTCAACGGAGAATCAAACCTGAGACTGTGGATTGAAGTCATGTACAACTTCTTTACAATCCCCTTGGTTTGTCCTTACCGTTGAACTATCTATAAATAGGTATTTTCATTCTCTCTTTATCTCAACATTTATGAACAAGTTTTATCGTAGTATTTTATATTTGCCCTAAGAAAGGAATCACAAATGTGTTTTTACTGTTTTCATTTTTAGATAATAATAAATTAGAAAAGATACAAACGATGATAATAAACGCATTTTTATAATTTGAAAACTTAAAATAGAACTTCTTGTTTTTTATTTTAAATTGAAAATACTAAAAACAATAATGAACGGCACCTCATTTATCCTGAAATGGAACAACATTAATTCCCGGAAAACAAATCATGTGAAATATAAAACGAATACAAGAGCTTGTACAATACCTATCATAAAATTTATTAGATAAATATAAATCCTATCCACACATAAACACTGAGACAAAAAAGAAGCTGTACCTAAAACTTTGAAAAGCACATTTTCTGCCCAAATACGCTTAGCAGCAGCAAACCTAACAGTAACAGAAACAGTGGCCTCCCATTTGACAGAAAATTTTGGGGTGTTCCTGTGCATCAATTTATTGCTTTCAGATCCCGAAACCAATTTCCAAAAAGAAAAAACTGGAAACAGAAAAATGGAAAAGGTGAAACTATCAATCTGGGGTCGAGACCCTTTTTCGGATACAGAAAATCGGCATGAACTCAACCCCATTTCGATTGAAGAATGAATAGTTTACTGGCTAAGCAATTCTTGTTCTTAAAGTAGGTGTCGTTTTCTTCCAGGTAATGTTAAAATAAGGTTCAAAAAAGAAATTTCTTCTTCCTCCACTTGAAAAATGAAATCAAACCCTTTTCACAAAACTTCAACTCAGAGTCAGTTTGGACCCACTTTGTTATTGGATATATCTCCTGAAGGTTGGACCTACTCAGGGAGCACAATTAAAAGAAACTCAAATTGCCACGTTGTCCTCTCTAAATCCGTCTACTTTTTTCATTTTATTTATATGTTTTTTCTAAAAAATGTCTGAATTTACTGTTTATCCCATATATATATGAAATTAATTTTTAAATTCATCAAATATATCAAATGAAATTCTTAGTTTTTACAAAAAAATCCCACGAATAAATTTAGTAAATTATATAATGAATTATATATATATATATATATATATATATGAAATTAATTTTTAAATTCATCAAATATATCAAATGAAATTCTTAGTTTTTACAAAAAATTCCCATAAATACATTTAATAAATTATATATATATAATTTAATTGTACAAAGAACAAAAGAAAGAAAGTTTGTATATCTTTTCATATATTTTATAAAATAAATATCATTTCTAAATTTTTTTTGTCAAATTAAATTACTATTAATTGTTTTGTGTTTATATATATATAAGGGCTAACTTATAACCTACCGTTACGGTCTCCCACTTAAATTACGGATGTTTAGATAGAGAATCAAACCTGAGACCATGTACCTATCCACACTATCCTCAATTCATTATAACCATTTAGGCTACCCACAAATGGTTTATATCAAAATTTTGAAGTTAGGAAAAAATGATAAATATACAAAATATGTATTTTTATGCATTTTTTTAAGGAGTCGAAACATAAAAGTAAAATTACAACAAAAGATAATATTTTTACTATAAAAGCTACATAAATCTTTGAATATTTTATTAGTAAAAATTTTATTATAGTTTAATTTGGAAGATGTGTTATTTGTGTTGGCTTAATAACTTGTTCATTAGTAAATTTTCTTAGTTTTGTTTTATACTTGTTAAAGTATTATAAATTTATTATATATCATCAATATATTAATTACAAAGAGCATTATAAAAAAAATACTCATATTTTTGTATAACTTATACCAAATATATTATTTATTATAAGTTTATTTACAATTGTATTATTAAGTTTAATTAACATCTTGACCCCCATAGAATGAGTTTTTGGCTACTCCCCTAGTGTTTAGGTCAGTTTACACGTACTTCAACTAATTTCTCAAGACCCTAGAACTGTCGATTGGGTAAGAGCTCCAGTGACCACTCCTATTATTAATTGAGAAGAGACTTAAACTTAAAACCTTTTGAGTAATACATCAAAGAACCCTTATCAAACCACTCGGTTACCTAGAGGTTGGTTTATCCCAAATTCTTTGTTTTATTTTATTTGAAAATGGAAACACTGAAAACATATATTTATTATACTTTTGGGGATAAACATGAAATATTATAATAAAGTAGAGAATGAAAACTTAGAAAATAACTATTTTATGTTTAGTGCGTTTAAGTTTAGTTATATACGAGATTCTCTATTTTTTCGTTTAAGTTTAGTTATATATGAGATTCTCTATTTTTTCTGTTTTCTATTTTAGAAAATGAAAATAGGAAATTAACATGTACTACTTGTTTTACAAAATAAAATAGATAATGAAAATAATAAGCTAACACAACCCTTATTTTACATTAAATTGTACCTTTTTTTTTTTTTTTAATAACCGGGATGTATGAGCCATAACACCTTGTGGTCACTTTGTAGGACTCAAACACAAGACTTTTAGATAATCCACCCAGATAACTAAAGTTTTGCCGTTGGGCCACAAGGCTAATGGTTTCTTTTTTTTTTTTTTTTCTTTTCACTTTCTTTTTAGATAAATAAAATTTTAACATCATTTTCATCTATAAATATTATAAATTAAATATTTTTGCACTGTAAAATTCAAAGAATGCCAGTCTAGAATTCATATTAAATTCTCTCCCTTTGTAATGAAGTCACTTCTTGTGGTTGCTTCTAATTTTCATTCTTTAGTGTAAAGTAAAACTCAAAATCAAGCAAAAATTTACAAAAGCACAAACTCTTGTGATCCCACACTATAAATGCACAACTCTCAGCCTCATTATTCCAACACCATTTTGGCTATTCAACAAGTTTCCATAACAACTCTCATGGCCGATTTCACACAAGATTTTCAAAGCTTCAGACACTCAAATTTTGAAATGGATATGGATCCAATTATGGAACAAATACACCAGTTCAATCTCCTCGGCAACTCAAACTTGAATAATTGTCAAACCTTCATGCCTTTCTGCACTGAGAACTTCTTTAACCATCAAACACTACTGGACTTCCCTGGAAGTTTGGCCGAAACTTTTCCAGGTTTTTTCCTGCAAAGCAATCAGAGTATTGTGCCTGTAGTTCCTCAATCTACAGTCACATCTGAAAATGAAATTCACGAGAGCAAGAAGAGAAAAGCAATGGATATATTAGAAAGCAGCTGTGAGAACTCTTCTCCTGCAGTTTCCGAAACTGGGATTAAGAGGAAAAATGTAAACATCTAATCTTGTTAATCATCTTTTATATTGTTAAATGTGGAATATAGTTTCATTATTGGTTGTTTTTGTTATTTTTTCAGACTTCAGGGAGAAGAAAGAGAGCGAAAAACAATGAGAAGGAAGAGGAAGAACCAAAGGAAGTTGTTCATGTGAGAGCTAGAAGAGGACAAGCTACTGATAGCCACAGTTTAGCAGAAAGGGTATAAATTATTTAATTAATTATAAGCTTTTCTGAAACAATTGAAACTGAACTTGAATTAGTGAATGATGGAGAATTTATGGGTTTATAATTTGTTTTAATTCAGGTTAGAAGAGGGAAAATCAATGAAAGACTAAGATGCTTACAAGATATTGTTCCAGGATGCTATAAGGTAATAACAATTTTTTCTTCCAAGGAATTTATATAATTTACATTGACTTTCCGTTTTTATAATATTCTCAAACTCATTGAAAATTTGCAGACAATGGGTATGGCAGTAATGTTGGATGAGATAATTAATTATGTTCAGTCCTTGCAGAATCAAGTTGAGGTGTGTTTCATTAGAATTTAAAGAAGAATTTCATTAACATTACTTTCTCTGGTAAGAAGATTAAGCTAATAATAGGATTTTTTTTTCTCATTGGTTTGGATGCAGTTTCTCTCCATGAAGCTTACTGCAGCAAGCACATTTTACGACTTCAATTCAGAGTCAGACGCCATAGAAAAAATGCAGGTACTAAAAAATAATATACGTGGAAAAAGACTTCAATAAGAATATGTCAAGTCATCTGTATTTTACTGTAGTTTATTGATTGAATGTCTGAAATTTCGCAGAGGGCAAAGGCAAATGAAGCAAAAGATGAGTTGGAAGGATGGTTGAGAGAAGGATATGGAGGAATTGGTTGCTCCCAAATAAGAAGGCCATTCTGACTTTCACTTTTCTCTTCCATACGAACACATGAAGATGCTCTAATATGTCCTAAAATTTCTCCAATTTCAAGAAATTTGTCCCCACTTCATGTTATACATAGCTAGAACTTCTGGACTTTGTGTATACTTTGTAATTGCCACTCACACATGTGGGGGAATTGGAATTCAGTCAGTAATATTAATTTTTAAAAGAGAAGAAAAACGAAAAGAAAATCTTATCCCTTCGTTATCTATCTTCTGTCCGGTTTTGTTTCCTATGGATCAGAATCTATTTGGATCCACATATAACAGTATGAAATATGATGCCATTTTTATATCATTCTGTAAATTTCTGTTTAATCAAATTAAATTGTAAGACAAATTCTGCCATCCCTTCAGAACTTTTTCTTCTTCTTCTTCTTCTTCTTTCTTTTGTTTTCTGCTCAACTTGACTGGAACTGTAATAATGAGAATGCTGAAGTGATGGCAAAAGGGCCAAAAATGATGATTGAGACATTGGGGGGACTATAATTAAGCCATTTTCATCTTGGCACTGATGCTTTCACAGTACTTGACTAAACAGATTTCACTTGCATTCAAGTATATATCATATCAATTATTGAACTTTCTCTTTGTTTCCATATGCTTTCACAGTACTTGACTCCATCCAGACATGCAGCCAAAGAGAAAAGTGTTCACAATATACATTCAATGCCACATTTCTATTGGATATTACTATTTATATATTTTGATGTTATTAATTTAAAGCATTCAATATAAGAATAATAACACTAATCTGCATGTTTGGCTTACTATTTTTATCCCTATTCTGGATCCTATTCTCCAAATAATGTTTGGCACATTATTCCAGAAATATTACCCTATTTTTTAAATTACATTTAAACCCCACAAGGTTATTAATTTCACTAAATACCCCCTAAAAAAAAGTTTAAAAATTAACAAAAATACCCCTATCAACCCAACTTGTCAGATTCCGGCAACCACCGTCGGTGATAGCCAGAATCTGTACAACGGCCTAACTTCCGACCATAAATGGCCGGAAGTTCACCGCTGTGGCCTTTTCCGGCCAGATCCACCACGGATCTGGCCGTCAGCGACGGCCAAAGAAATGGCCTTCGTTGACCGAAAACGACGGCCACATCTTTGGCCGTCGCTGACGGCCAAAGATGGCCCTCGTTTGGCCTTTTCCGGCCGTCGACGGCCATAACAGACCGTAGATCTGGCCTTTTCCGGCCAGATCCACCATGGATCTGGCCGAAAAAGGCCATAACGACGTGTTACGGCACAGATCCGACCGCTCTGTGCCGTAACGAAATTTTTTGGCCAGATTCCGGCGGTGGTGGCCGGAATCTGACACTGCAGGTGGTGGGGGTGTTTTGGTCATTTTATATGTTAGGGTCTTTAGTTAAATTAGTAAACCTAAGGGCTTTTTCATAAATTTTTAAAATTTACCTCGTAATACTCCCCTATCTAATAACTCAATACTATCCCTAAAATCCTATCCAAAATACTAAACCAAACGCACCCTATGTATCTACTTTTAATAACAGTGAATTGTAGCTCAGATCGAGTAAAAATATGTTAAAATCTATATGTTATCTCCCTTAAATGTAACTTTCTGAATAAATTTTTATACCTTTTTTTTTTTTTTTTTAATCATTGGGAGTGTCCGAGCGAGCTTGCATACACTTAAACTAATCCTCTAGAACCTTAAAACTGCCGGTTGGGTAAAATTCCCAATGGTCACCCCTATTAGTGTATGAGAAGACTCAAACTTAGAAGCTCATAAACCTCCTTTTACTCTTTTACCATTAGATGAGCCAATGATAGTTAATTTTTATACTAATTCGATCTCTCTCATGTATTGAACATTATATTTGGACCCCCATACTGCAATTTCTTGGTTTTGTTCTTGAATTTCATGTTATCAATACTCTTGCTTTTTATTTATTTTATTATCAATCTCGTATTCAACCTTATCGATTTATGTTTTTTGTATTTTGGCTACCGACCAGTATTATAGAAATAATAATAATAATTTATATACGAATATGAATATTGAATGCAAGAAAGGGCAAGTTTCTGTGGATTTATAGGTAGCTATAAATTGTGTAGGACCAAAAAACAAACAAATAATTTGTAGCAAGTTGTAGAAAAATCCGAATTGTCTGTAAAAATTTAAAACTAATACGCGCATAGTCTTCAAAAGGCAACAAATTTTGCAAGTGATCTCTTCTTGTCTCTCAATTATGGAACCCACAAAGCTTAGATGGATACATAAAATCTCATGGATTTTGCCAATTCATGAATTGAATGATTGGAGATGAGAAATTATTTAAGAACAAAAATTTTTAGCTTCTTTAATTGAAAAAGAAATTTAAAAAAATTGGGATAGATGCAATGCATCCATGAAAATGGGAGTTTAAATGGGCCAACAAGAGAATGGGTAAGGTGGGTTCTCCACAACATCTCAAATGATAAGAACTTGTGAACCTATCTAATCAATTTAATTTTGTTTTTCTCTTTCCACTCAAAATCTTCTCTATTTTTGACCCTCTTTTGACTTGGTCTTTTTGGTTTGTGTCTTGAAGAAGCATGCATGAACTAGAACTAGAAGGGAAAGAGCACAATAGACCAACTGGATAACGTCAAGAATTAATCCCAATTTAAATAAGAAGTTAGATTGAGGGTCACATGGTAGGTGAAGTTAAAGTGACTAAATATATTATGTGGGCAAGTTCAAGGATCCATGAAAGTGGGCTCATCATCAAGCTTTTCAAGTGGGGAAGGTTGTTAGCTTGTCAAGAATCTAATTTAATTCCACTGATTAATAATTTTCATTGATTCATTGTTAAGTTCATACATAGAACAACACCCACTTTTTAACTAGAAAAGGGTCTATAAATATAATTTAATATCCACTATATTCCACACATATTGGCTACCATATCCTCTAATATAAATGCTTTTGATGGATTCTTAATTAAGTTCAATCCACGTAGTAATCAACTTTGTATAAGAAATAATTGTTTATATTCAAAATAAAGAAGAATACGATTGGTGAAAAGTCAATTACCCCCTTACAGAGTTTTTGAAAGTCCAAGAGAAGAACTGTGACCTTTTTAATCAACTTCCTCTCAATAGTTTCAAATATAAACCAAAGAAGAACAAAAACACAGACGGAATGTATGTCTGTTAGGATTATGTGATTATTGAATATGGGTTTTGTTTATTTGATATTTGAAAATATGGGTTTTGTTGGTTTAGTTTTTTAAAATGGCTTTTATGATGAATTTTGAGGTAGTTTTAGGTAGTTGATAATGGGTTTTGTGGTGAGGCAATGGGTTTTGTTTATGTGATTCTTTGAGATAGAGTTTCGTTTTAGTTTTTTAGGTAATTGATGATGGGTTTTTTTGTGGTGATTGACGATGTGTTTTGTAGTAGGGGGTGAGTTTCGTTTATGTAGTTGTTGAATATGTGTTTTGTGGTGGATTTTTTGGGTGGTTGATTGCGGTTTTTGTGGTGGATTTTATGGTGGGTAAGAAAATGGGAAGAAGAAAGAAGACGGGAGAGAAAAGATAAAATGAAAACTAGATGGGGGAATATATTAAAAGGAGGAAAGAAAATTATATAGGCTTTCATTAATAAAGGGCATATTAATCTTTTACTCTATTTTAGCGTAGATTATTAACAAGAAGTTAGACATGCTAGCATTTTGGTCTTCTTTGATTTATTTCTGAAACTATTGGGGAAAAGTTGATAGAGACTGTCATAGTTGTCCGAAAATATAGACTTCTAGAAATTGTAGGGAGTAATTGATTTTTACTCTAAGGGAATGTTTGGTTTAGAGAATGTTGGATTACTGGGAAATGTTATATTACTGGAATGTTAGATTACCTTGATTACTAAGAATCTTTAGGAAAATATGTTTGGTTAATTGATGGGTATGTTATATTAATATGTTTGGTTAGAAGGAATAAATTGGTGGGTATGTTATTTAAATTACTGAATTGTCCTCTAATTAAATATTATTTTTTAATATTGATTATTATTTGGATTATTATAACCCCCCCTACATTTAAAAACTTAGAAAAAAAAACCACATAATAAAAGTTTGGAAAATCAACAAAGCACCCCCACTTAGGGCTATAAACGAGCCGAGTCGAGTCGAGTTTTGGCTTAAACGAGCCTGACTTGTTTTACATTTAGCGAGTTTGAGTCGAGTCTCGAGCCTAATGAGCCAGGAAAATTGAGCTCAAGACTTGACTCGTTTTTTACACAAGCTGGCTCGAACTCGGTTCGAGCTCATGCAAAGGAAGAAACGAAACAGAGATCACTTTCATTGCCGCCAACCCTTCATTCTGAATCCTCCTCCACATTCATCTCAAATTCAAAATAGAAGAAAAATAATAAAAAATGAAACCACAGCAAAACCCATCATCTTCATCTCTTTATCTCCTCCACCACCTCCGCATGTTGAAAAATAATATAAAATGAAACTCACTGCAAAACCCATCATTTTCATCTCTTTATCTCCTCCACCACCTCCACATGTAGAACCTAACCCGGAATTTGTATGCCTCCTCCAACAGCACGATGCATACCTGAGATTTGACACGAAGTAGAGAAGAGAATCAGAGATGGCGAATTTTTACGGCGAACGAAAGACTCGCAAGACTGGTGACGTCGACGACCGAGGGCCAAAGGCAGGGCAGATCGCCATAGCTTTTAGTTTTTAGGTTTTCTTTTTCCTTTTTTTTGATCTAAATCAGTAAATCCCCAAATTGATTTTGACTTATTTTGATTTTGTGGGGGAGTGTTTGTTATTTTTTAAAACTGGAAAATTCTTATACCCCCTAATAGTTGTAAAAATATCATATATACCTGAGCCGATTGAAGCTATATTCAAGCTTGGCGAGCCAAGCATGGGTTGTTCGAACTTGGCTCGCCTGATGACCTGAGCCGAGTCGAGTCAAGCTCGGCTTGACAAATATCGAGTTGAGCTCAAGCTTTTTACCAAGCCGAGCTGAGTCGCTTGGCTCGGCTGACACCCCTACCCCCACCAACCCAGCCACTGTCGGCTGCCGACAGTCAGCAACCTAACAGCGCACGGAAGGCAGGAAATGACCTCTGTGCGCCGTATGGCCATTTCTTGCCAGATCAGATGTGACGGATTTGGACGTCAACGGCCCGATCTGTCGGTCATAATGGCCATCGATTTAGCCGTTGACGGCCAGATTGATGAATCTAGCCGTCAACGGCCAAATCTGGCACGATCTGGCCATTCCGGCCAGATGTCTAGCCGAAAATGGCCATATCGGCGCACAACGGCCATTTTCGGCCTCCTATGCACCGTTTCGGCTACGGCGGCAGGTGGGTGGGGGTGGTGGCTTGCAATTTGTTTTGAATTCAAAGGTAATTTTGTCCAAAAAGTTAATTGATGGGGGTGAAATAGTAAAAGCGATATTCATGTAAATAAATTTAAAAATAAGAGCATTATTGTCCTAAATTTTATTAATAAGGGATAGAATTGTAACAAAAAAAGATAACCCTGGTAATCTTAGAATAACAGTAACCACTATTAGTATTTGAAGATTACCGGTATCTTATATTACTTGACAACCAAATATGGTAATCAAGTAATATAAGATTACTTAACCCCAGTAATCCCCAATAACCGCCAACCAAATGCCCCCTAAAAATTAGTATAAACTTGAAAAAATGAAAGAAATTATTTTATTTGTTTTTCATAATCTTTCATTTAAAAAAAAAAAAAAAAAAAGTTATATTATGTCATACGTGTCGACAATGTAATATAAATTTTAAGAATCTTTCTTATTTTTTTGAAAATTATTTTCTAAAAATAAACCATAAGTTAACTTTCTAAATTTAATAATTTATTAATTTTATTAAATATCTTAAAAAGGTTTAAAAATTAATAAAAATACCTCCATTTATCCATACTCGTCAAATTTTAGCAACCATCATCAATGGTAATAGAATATGTCACAACGGCCTACAAACGATCAAAACTGAACAATAATTCATCGATCTGGCCAGATTCATAGTGGATTTGATGGAAAAAGTCTAGATTTGGCCATCAGCGACCAAAGAAATGGTTATCGTTGACTGACAATGACAGCCAAATCTAGACTTTTCTGGCCGTTGATGGCCAGATTTGATCGTAAATCTGGCATTTTTTGACCAGATCCATAGTGGATCTGGCCGAAAAAGGCCATATCGACATCTTACCCATCAGATCCGAATGGTCTGCATCGTAATGTCATTTTCCGACGGTGGTAGCCGAAATCTGGCACTGTAGGTGGGTAGGGGTGTTTTTGTGTCATTTTACAAAATTTTTATATATTGGAGTGTTTAGTTAAATTAGCAAACCTATGGGGTTTTTTTTTTTGTAAATTTTTAAATTTTATCTCGTAATACTACCCTATTCAACTACCCAATATTATTCTCAAAATTCTATCCAAAATAATAAAACAAACGGACCCTAAATGTCCAAATATGAAAAGCTTTTGCTATTACTCCAAAGATTCATCAGACGGCCTTGGAACCACTCGGTGCCTTGCTTGCAAACAACACCACGTGATTAGCGACCCTCCCAAACTGTTGTATTAGCTAACCCAAATATCATATGGTTATTAAACGATCCAACAAATATGGGTTCATGTTTTTAGAGTGGTTTGGACCTTAAGTGTATTGTTTAATAGATCTTGAATTTGAATATTTATAACTACTAATAAATAATAGTCATTAAAGGTTTATCTGATTATTAACTTTAGAGTTCTGAAAAATTAATTGAGATACATGTAAATTAGTTCGGGCATATGTGGATTAAAAAAAAAAAAAAAGAAAGAAAACCGTGAAATCAGGTAAGCTTGCTAAAGGCGCTGCCAAGGAAACAATGAAATTGCTTATTAACCTTCTATTTAAGAAAATTCTAGTTATGCCTAAGTCCTAGATAATATCAAATTAAAAAATCTATTTATATTTAGGGGGTGTTTGGATCATATAATACTTTATTATAGGGATATTATATTAACAGAATAAAAAACCACCTTGAAGATTACTATGAATGTTTAAAAATAAGTTGTTGAATAACAGATTTGGTTAGGAGGATAAATGGGTGAGTATGTTATTTAGATTACTAACTTGTCCTCCTTTTTAAATATTAATATAATAGTATTTTTTATTAATGTTTTTTGAATAATTTTTTAACCCCTTACTTTTCAAATTTAGCAAAAACACCCTAGCAACCAAAAACTTTTTAAACTTAACAAAAACACCCCTACCCACCCCAAGCCACTGCTAGCAGCCAGCTACCACAGTCAACAGCCGCCAACAGTGTCACAGATCTAGTTGTGACGCCGACATTGCCATAGATCTGGCGATGGCCGTTTCAAGGCCAAAGATGTGGCCATGAAACAACCACAGATTTAGCCTTGAAGTGGTCAGGTCTTTGGCAATGAAATGCCGGTTGTTTCATGACCATAGATCTAGCCTTGAAATGGCTAGGTATTTGGTCGTAAAATGCGGTCTTTGGCCATTTCAAGGTCAGATTTGTGGCTGTTTCACGGCCAGATTTGTGGCTGTTTCACGGCCACATCTGACCGTATCCGACCATGGATCACAATCTGTGATCCATAGTCGAAAAAGGCCTCATCGGCGCATGATCAACCGTATGCCATTATGACTACTTTTGACAGCCTTTGTCCGCGATGGCTGGCGAGGTGACTAGTTCTGAGTACAATGACATTTCTATAAATAATGAAAATAACAAAGGTAGTGTCGTCTGAAAAATTTAAAAAGTGAAGACAAAAATGTGTATATGAGTAAATTTGGTGTTTTGTAAATTTTAACAAATATAAGATTAATTTGGATCAAATGCTCAACTGTTTAGGGACAATATGAGAAACAAAATTATATTATCTTAGGTAAGTTTTGATAACAACCCCCTAGGATATTAAGATTCTTGGCAATTTACGCTCCAAATATCATAATATATTTCGAGAATAATTTTTTATAAACTAGCCAAACATCATCATCTACTCATAACTCAATTTAAAAAATAATACCTCAATTATCTTATATTAGTCTCCTCCAGTCGTCCCCTTAAAAGATAAAATAATGTAAAATAAATGGGATGTCTTTCAATTTCCTCACTATTTGTTATCTTGATTTTTGCCATGACCCTTTAAAGCAATTGCGTCATGTGTTACGTCAACTTTTACACTGTCTATTTTTATATATAAATAAATGTTGTCCTTTAATTTTAATATGCCTCCATATTTTCAGTATTTTTAATCACACCCCTTCAGCATCATAATTGAGTATGTCACACGACACAACCACAATAATATTGTCACAACCAGATTATGTGACAAAACCACCCCTATAATCATTTTGAATCTTTGATATTTATAAATTTTAATCATAAATTTTTTTTGGTAGAATATCTTAAAAAAAAAATTTGTATTTATCTAAAAGACTTAAACCACCTAGGAATTTCAAAAATAAAGAAAAACTAGTAAAACAATAAGAAGAGAGAGGGTAGTTTTGTAATTTGGAGAGTTTTAGATGACAAAACCTGCAGTTTCCTAGTTGTTGAAAACAAAGAGAGGAAACAAAGAGAGGGAGGGGAAACTGAAAAAGCGAGGGATTTTGTGTGTTGTGTTACGGCGGTTGACGGCTCTCTTTTTTTCCTTCATGAATTGGATTTGATCCGTTCTGAGTTTATACATTTTATTTTAGTTAATCAAACCCTAATGTATTCTTCTTGTTTTAATTAGGTTAATTAATTATTATTTTTAATTAATTAACCAATTAAAATATACTTTATTAATGTGTTCTGTTATTCAGATTAAAATCTTGAGATTCTGTTTTTAACCTAAAAACCCTACTTTGAATGGCCATGACGGCTGATTCTACTGCCAATCATCACTCTCCACGTGGCTCGGGATTCTCCGGTGACGGTCTTTCTAGCCCTCAATTACGGCGCAAGAATTTGCCCTCGCCGTGGGCTCAGGTTGTACGAGGCGAGCCGGAATCAGTTTCAGCGGCTGTTCAACATTCTTCCCCATCGCCATCACCGCCACCGCCGCCGCTGACTTCTATATCTGAGTCAACCGATAACTTATCTTCCTCGAAGGTGGCTTCAGCGTCATCATCTCCGCCGCCGGATAATTCTATGGCTGCTGAGAACTTGGATGCTAATAACAGCAATGCGGCTCGCCCAAAGAAGCTGGCGTGGATCAAGCCATCAAACGGCGTCGTTGAGATTGGTCCTGTCATGGGAGCTGTTTCTTGGCCCGCGTTATCTGAATCCACTAAGCCTTCCCCAAAATCATCAGTAGCGGACTCCTCTTCTTCAAAAACCCTTTCTGATGGATCAGTTTCTAATAATCAGGTTCTGTTCCTATTTTTTTATTAATTTCTGTTTGGTTTCGAGAAAATACATAAATAAAAATATAATCTGATTTTTTTCTTTCTAGTACGTGGAACTTGCCTAATTAGGGTTTTTCTAGTCTATAATCAGCTATTGAGAAATTCAAGTTCTTTGGAGAACTATGGCGATAACGATTATTCGACATAGTTTGTTTCATTGATATTGACAGTTTTTATCGTCCCCATGAACGATGATTGATATTGTGTTTATAATAGGTGCCTGTAATTCCACATTTACCTCCGAAGCTCACTAGTCCTAACGCAAACCCTAGTTCGAACACAAATCGCACAATGTCAGCTCGACAAAGGTCGAGGCGCGGTGGCGGTGCAACCAGCTCTGGGGGTGGCCCTGCACAGACTGCTTTCACTCGGTCTCCTCAGCCACCTCCGCCACCTCCACCACTACCACAAGCATTCCCAATTGCAATGTCTCCAAATGGTGTTGGGAATCTTGTGCAGGCGTTTCCAGATCCTTCTCCAAGAGAGCCCCTATATAGAGGCAATAACTGGGAAACCAGAGCGGTGGGAGGATTTGTGTCGCAATCACATCCTTTGAATGAGCACCGCAATTCTTCACGGAGAGGTAACTATGGACCGCGTGGAGATGGTACTTACCATAACAATTATGGCAGTAGACGGGATCAAGACCGTGGAAATTATGCAAATGCCAGAGATGTTCATCTGCAGCAGCAAAGAGGTCCTCCGAGGGGCTTTGTTAGGCCTCCACCACCCACTGCTGGCACATTTGTACCACCTCAACCTATTAGACCTTTTACAAACCCCATTGCGTTTTCTGGTAAGTTTACTTTCCAAGGAATGTGTGCTTTTGGTTCTTATGATAGAATGTTGAAATGTAACATCTTATTCTTTCAGATTTCATATATCTCCATCCACATATGGAGCCCTTCAGGCCCTTCATGACTGCACCAATGCTTATGCCTGTTGCAGAACCTCCTCTGCAGACTATGTTAGTCCGTCAGATTGATTATTATTTCAGGTATTTTGATATTTTTGTTTTTCTTAGCGATGCTAAGTTAGCTTTAGTAATTGAGTTCCGTTCTTCTTTGATATGTTGAAAATACAACTGTGATTTACCCACTGCATGCTTGTTGTAGTGATGAGAACTTGGCAAGAGATGAATTTTTGAAGTCTAACATGGATGATCAGGGATGGGTAACCATTACTTTAATTGCAAGCTTTCCTCGAGTAAGTTATTGTAGTCAAATAATTGATTTTCTAGTTCTTCTTGATACTCATGATTAAATGACTTGGTACTTAAATTATCAACCTTTGTAGACTTTTGTGACCTTACGTGTATATGTCAAATTGTCCCCATTGAATGTCTCGGCTTTTAAGTGACTGGACTTCATCTGTGAAATTGATGTTCAATAGTATGTTCATTGACCAATTGACTTCACTAACACTCTCTTTGTTTGCTTTAAACTTTCTCTCAATATCAAGTTTATGTGAAGCCAAAATTCTGGCTTTATCTTGGATATTCATTTCCTTGTAAGTTTTTCATTGCTCTGAAGCTGTTGAAGGAGGCCATAATATGATTCTGCTTATGTATAATACATTAGCTCCTTGAATTCCTATCTACATATAGTTTGTCTATGTTAAGGGTTTCTGGGAGCGAGAGATGTACTTCAGTGGAAAACCTTACCTCACCAGACTGCCTGATTGCTGCTGCCTTTTTTGTCATAATTTTTTTTTTCTTCAGGGTGCTGGTGTGCTGGAAGGTTTGAGAAGCTGAAGAGTTGGTAGTGTGTAGTTGATTAACTCTGACCATGGTTTGAGCTTTAAAGTGTTTTTGTTGCGAACTAGTGTTAGGGGCTTAAGGTTATTGGTTGACATAGGAGTGGGAGATTGTGTTGTGATATTAGGCTGAAACAGTGAGGTAAGTGTAGTGAAATGAAGACGGGAGGTTGGAAGACAGCTAAGTTAGACAACAAGGACCCTTTACAAGGGTTAGTCTGGAAATATTTATAAGCCTATATTTCCTGGTCTTAGAAACTACAAATAGCCTTGAGTAGTAGTTATTTCAGATATTTACAAGTTCAAGCAGGACATCCATACCTCACTGTAAGCCGCCCTTTCTTTAATTAGCAATTATAGTGTAAACCTATGAGTGCTCTCCTGCCCTAACTCTGTCTCCTCGCTCTTCCAATAGAAGAGGGAAATGTGGTGAAATGAAGACGGGAGGTCGGAAGACAACTAAGTTATACAACAAGGACCCTTGGCAAGGGTTATTCTGTAAATATTTATAAACCTATATTTCTTGTTCTTAAAAACTGCAAATAGCCTTGAGTAGTAGTTATTTCAGATATTTACAAGTTCAAGCAGGACATCCATACCTAACTGTAAGCCGCCCTTTCTTTAATTAGCTATTATAGTGTAAACCTATTGGTGCCCTCCTGCCCTAACTCTGTCTCCTCCCTCTTCCAATAGAATTCATCCTTCGTTGCACGATTTTAACAGTCTATGGTCCGCATCCTTTATAGTGTCAAGATTTGCATTCTTTAATTAGCTATTATAGTGTAAACCATTGTTAGTGTTGTAATATGTTTTAATGGCTTATTTGTCTGGCTATACTTATTGCTAGTTGGTGTATGCTTTTCTATTACATTTAATTTAATTTCTTAGCATTTTTGTCCTAGAATTTTTTATTATTATTATTAGATGCCCTTGCAGAGATCAGGTTTTTCTCTATGGTTCTGTTTTTGCAGGTTAAGAATTTGACAAATAACATTCAGTTGATATTGGATTCCTTGAGAACTTCAGCTGTTGTAGAAGTACAGGTAACTTATGTGTGTTTGTTGTATATATCCGTCTAAAGCATCACAAATGCCTCACTGGAAATGGGTGACTTGACACCTAATGACTATCATTTTTGTGCTGTTCTTACCTTGTTTATTGCTGCAGGAGGAAAAGGTGAGGAGGCGTAATGACTGGATGAAGTATATTCCGCCTTCCAGTCGGGTTCTCACTGAGTCAGGACTAGCCTCTCCGAGTGGATCAAGTTATGGAGTGCTCACAACTGCATTTCAGAAGATCACAGTGGAAGGAGAAGATAATGCAAACCCTCACTCTGAAGATGCTTCAAGAAGACAATTCTCTGAATCGACTGGCCAGTCAAAACTCTGCAATGGAGATGGTTCTGAAGTTACATTATCAAACGAAAACTGAATTATGTAAGCCCCACTAAGTTAAAGCGCAATTCTATTGGATGGTGCTTGTTTTTGAAAGGGAGGGGGGCTGCTGCCATGAAAGGTGTATGAACATCTTTCTTTCTCTGTGGCAATTCTCAAATTTTGGAGGAATATTTTGCCGAGACAAGTTGAGGGAGTGAAAGAAATATATATAAATTATTTTTGGAATATAAAGAAAGAGAACAAAGTGAGACAAGAACAGCTTAAGATCATTGACTGGGTTGAATTATGAGGTTATTGCGTTGTATAGTTTGATATTTTGGATGGTTTTGTTCTTATTATTTGATGATTTCTTGTGGAATGGATAGTCATAGCATCCAAGAGAATTTCACAATTTTTACCTTGGCTATCAAATGTTTAGGTCCATAAACTCCAGATCTTGGGGGGTGGATTTAAACTGCTTTTCCATTTATTGTTTTTTACCATAAATGGGTTGATTTTCACCTATTTCTGCCGTCCAAGCCTCATGAGTCATGAGTAGTTAAAAGTTTTTTTTATCTATTTCTTATTCCCTTTTCAGTTAAACTTCTTATTATGCCTTGTCATTTGGCGAAGAGACGTGCATAAAGATTGCGACAATTAAAGGTTCTCTTTTTACGCGGTTTAAAAATGGTGAATACAACCTCAAATTTGATCTATTTCAATTAGGGAAAATGGATGGTTGTACAAATGGTGAATTCTATCCTTTGAGCTCTAAGATTTCTACTGTACCCATAATCCATTATCCATATTGTAAATATACTAAATGCAATACACCACTATTTGTGCCTCCATTCAAGGGTATTAATTAATGAATAAGGAGTTAGTTACCTCCCAAGGTAATAAATAACAATGAAATCTTTATAATCCAATAACGCTTATACACATTTTCAATTTAAATAATGTTAGTTTTACTCATTCTCTCTACTCACTTCTCGTATTTATCTTTGTTAAAATATTAATTTTATCTATTTTTTCACTTTTTTAATAAAAGTAATTAAGAGAAATGGGCTGAGTAAGATTGGCATTATCCTTTCAATTTTAAGGAAGCCAAAGTTACTGGGAGCAGGTGTTGTGTTTAGTTAAGTTGAGGACAGATGGCCAAACGTGGTGGTTGATAAATTAGTTTTGTCAGCTTTGTTCAGGCAGGGAAAGGGGACCCCGCCCCCGGTACATAAAATTTATTAAACTTAGCTATGGTGGCACTTGTGGTTCCAAGAAGGATTCAGAAGTTCAGATTTGGGATTGCAGTTGGACAAGTTACTACTGTTTAAAACTGTTGTCAGTGGGGTGAAATGAATAAAGACCTTGCACTTGATGTATTTTGCATCACAGCTCTGCTGAGCTGACAGCTGTTTGTATCAACCATCAGATATTTGACAGCACTTTCTGACTTGCTATTTTACTACTGTTTAACTTGATAGTTGGGCTCGATTGGAACACTATTCTTATTTTTTTAGAACAGTATTACAAAAAATTAAAATTAGTTATTTTACGAAAAAAATAATTATTAATTTTTTTTAGAGTTAATAAAATAGAATTGGATTTTGTAAATATTAAACTAAATGTATTTGTAAAACCCTTCCCTAGTCGAGTATTTCCTAAGTATCCCTTGACCATTGAGTCATTTCTACCATAACATAATGATTAGCACTCATTTAATGCCATTTAACTTCGTTAAAACACTTAACAATTAAACAATCCCATTAGGTAAATGACTAATTTACCTTTAGTACATTTTTATAGATACTTAAATCATATAGATTTGTATAAAAAGACTATTATATCCTTGGTTACCGTTTACGCTATTTAACCATATCAATTAACTTTATGATCATTCTACCCTCATTTTCTTCAATGACATCACCCCTTACACTTTATAATGACCACATCTCAAAATACATGTAAATTGATCATATTACCTTTCCATTAAAAAAAAAAAAAAAAATTACTTAAAAAGGTAAATTTCATACCTTAAGGCATCGGAATAATAACGTGGGGTTTACAGTATGTTTAGGTTTTTAAAATATGATATAATAATAATAACAAAATTTTTGCACAAAGTTAGAGAAAATCATATCATCAATGTCTTCCCTTCCCTACCCCCAGTGGCGGATCCAATATTTTTGTCGAGGCGGCCTCCACGGCTCGGCTATTATTTGCCAAATAATTAGTGAAAACTTTAAAAAATTACTAAACCTTAATAAAAAAATAATACAATATTAAGAACCTGAGAAAAAAGAATATACATTAACCCAATATTTTTTTACTTGAATAAATCTATGAGAAGCAAAATTTTGAGTAAAAGTGTTGAGTAAACCTTGAACAAAACCTTCTTTTAATATTTTTGTTTTTGGCTTTCAAATATTATAATATAAATTTTCATAGCGTTGATCAAACCTAGCCTAATTAAGCTAAGTCAACCAAAACTTAAATCAAGTCAACGTTACGTTGACTTTTAATATGAATTAATAAAAGAGGAGAAATTTTTTTAGTATAAATATAGATAGTAGCTCAAATTTCTTTAATAATTTTGAACAACTAAACGGTGACGTTTAAAATGTAGGAAAGTGGTGGGTGAAGGGTGAAGAATAACGTCCTTTAAAATGTAGTTAAGGTTTTAATTTGAGAAAGCATGTTCATTCTTAGACAGAAAATATAAAATAAACTCAAAAGATTAATATCTTTTTCTCTCAAATTAGAATAAAAAAACTCAAAAAGAAAAAAAATGATTTAGTCTTTAAATAAACTAAATTGAAATGAACAATACACATATGTAAAATCTATAAAACAGAAAACGGAGTTAATTATGACACCTTGAGTAGTGAAAATTTAACAATTTCAGTCTTTAAAAATTTTAAGAGAGAAAAACATGAGAAAGAGAAAGAGAGTAAAAAATTTGTAGATAAAATCATAAAAAATAGATAAAATTGTATAGAAAAACACTGGGTAGAGTTTTAAACTTTTAATATGATGTATGCTTGGAATATATATATTAATAACAAGTTTTTTTGTAAACCTAGATATACAATATGTATAATAGTTTTTATTTTTTAAAAATCTAAAGATAGATCTGGGTATATATATTAATTAATAATTTTTTATGGTCTATATATTAATAATTTTTTTTTCAAATCTGAGGGTAGTGCTACCCTCAAAGGGGTTGAATCCGCCCCTGGCTACCTCCATACCAATTAGGGGTGTTCAAAAGCGGTTAACAACTTTTTTGAACCAAACCGGTTTTTCGGTTCGGGAAAATTCTCGAACTGAAACCGAACCGATTTTCCCTTTTTTTATAAAACTTATTTTTTTTCATTTTTCCCTAAATTAAATTGTAAATATAAATAACACATATCCAAATAAAAATTAGACATTCATATATATCCATTGACCACTACTATCAATACATTAAAAATATTATTCTTTTTTATTTAATATATAATATTTATTTTTATTTAATATATATATATATATATATATTGTAAAACTGGTTCAAAAAACCGGTTTCGGTTAACCGTTTTTATTTTTTTCCGAACCGATAACCGAACCGAAAATTCAGTTTTTAAAATTTTTCGAATCGTAACTGAACCATTTTTTTAATTAATCGATTTTTTCACAAATAATTTTATCAATTGGTGATCATTTATCTATCGGTTAAAGAAATGAATCGGTAATTTATACGGCTCCTGGTTATTCATAGCCATACACTTGTCCTGGGATATTGTCTAAAAGATTTTTGGTGCAATGAATTTGTAATATAACCAATGAACAATATGAAGATTTTTGCTTCCTAAAACTTTATTAAAGTAAGCACGTCTGTGTAAAAAATGACAGACTTCTGGGGGGAATCTCTTTGAGTGCAACGGCTGTAGATTGCTGTCAAATAACAGCCACACATCTCTGTAGAATCCAAATGTGTACGCTTGTATATTTCATTATTTCTCTTGCATTTCGTCTCTCCTCATAATTATCATATCTATTTGTTACAAGAAAGAATAAAGGCAACACATCATAAAAACTCTACTTAACCTAGAATTAGCTTCTTCTTTTCTTTTTTCCTAAAAAGAAAAACAAAAGTTATTCTGGGAAATAAAAAGTAGAAACGGGTAAGAAATTCTGTGTGGTCACCCTTAGCCATTAGATCATAGACCATTTTTCAGTTATTCATCTTGAAATAGATTTGGTTTTGACTAGAAATGGAAAATGGCATGTCCTGTTATCAGAATTAGATCTTCCAATCCACATTAGGAACTCTACACGTAAATTTTAAAATATTAAATTCACTCACCATTCCCAGTTTGGTAAAATGGTGCAAACTTTTGAATACTAAACAAAACAATCACTGTTTTCTCTTCGTTTCCTTTCAATCATCCAATACAAAAACATATTTGGTGACTTCAAAAGACACTTGCTTCAACTCAGTACCCACTATTCTACAATATAATAGCATTGCAACTAGAAAGTACTGAGTCGCAGCAGTCATTTTTCTTTTTATTTTATATTTACTGATATAAGATTTTTTGAAAAAGATTATATTGCCTGTTTTTTCCCTATTCTTATTCTTCTCATTTCTAAAATACACATTTGTTATATTTTATTTAATTACTTTTAAACCTTTTAAGTTTGTTAATTTAGTTAAACACCCCAATTCATGATAGATATGATTGAAAAAGACTATTTCGATGCACGATCGACCAGATCCAGTCGATTGTGAGCCGACACGATGACTTTGTCCATCCTCTGATGATAATGGCCAACTGCTAGTATTTAATGGATGGGTTAGAGTGTTAGATATTAACAAATGTAGAGATGTTTACATTAATTTTTAAATCTTACATACTTTACTTTTTCAAAAATAATATCCAAAATTCTAAACCAAACCGCCCTGTATCAGAGGCTTCGTCCTTTGAATATGAATAGGGTCATCAAAAGAAGTACCACCCAAATCCAATTTCTGTAGTTTATTTTTTATTTAATACATATAGTACATATTTGCGTATGACACAACTTCCACAAACCAGAACTAGAATGCTAATACATCTCTCCTCTCCCATTCTATGCCTTAGCTTGTTTCTTTCTCGTTGGCAGTGAACCATGTGGCCATCATCTGGTACACACAACCATAGCAGTAGTTCGCCTTCAAAATCAAAAGCTTCCTCCTCTACTTCCTCATCTCCAGCACCTTTCTCTCCAACATCTTCATCTCCAACCAAAACAACCATGGAAGAAGTTTGGAGAGATATTAGCTTATCTTCTCTAAATGACCACTCTAACTCAACCCTCACCAACACTTATAACAACCGCAACCACAACAACCAGCACTCAGGCTATCCCAGTTTAATACTTCAAGACTTCTTGGCCAGACCCTTCAACAATGATCCACCAGCCAGAGGTCCCTCTACTGAACCAACTTTTCCTTCTTTGAAGCCACCTCTTGCCACCATGTTGAGCTTGAATTCTGGTTCTGGTTCTGGTTCAGATGTTCAATATTCTGAACCCAGTGCTCCGGATCCTGTAAGGCCAAACCAGCAGTTAAATGGTCATACAAGTTGTGGTACTTGCTCTTTTGGTTGTTCTCACAACACTGTTTTGGATGCTATGGGTTCTCCAACCGTGTTTCCTCCATATTGCAAGAAAAGGGTCTCAGAAAATGACGATTATTCTGACGACCGGCGACACAAGCGCATGATCAAGAACAGAGAGTCAGCCGCTCGGTCTAGAGCTAGAAAGCAGGAATCTTTCTGTCCTTTTTCACTCTCTTTGTAAATGTGTTTGTGTGTGGGTGGTTAAATTTCTCAACTTGATGGTTGATTTCATTGGGTGATTTAGTTTGAGATCTTTGTGCATGCAGGCTTACACAAATGAGTTGGAAAATGAAGTTGCCCATTTGCTGGAAGAGAATGCTAAGCTGAAAAGGCAGCAAGAGAAGGTCAATTGTTTTTGTTTCCTCATTTTGACATTTTTATTAATACTTAAACAAACGAAGAGATCTAAGTAGGCCTATTGTTTATCATGGTATTTGCAGTTATTGGCGGCTTCTGCTCTGCTTCCAAAAAAGAACACACTCTGTAGAACCTCAACTGCTCCATTTTGAGAAGTAAGAACTAAGAATACAGCATTTTTGTTTCAGTTATTTTTTGCCTTTTATTCATCCATTTGACTTGCACGATAATTTCTCAATTAAGAAATAAAGAAACTAAGAAAGAGATATTTATCTATATATAAAATTTAACTTAAAATATATGAAAAAGGGAAAGTGAGGGGAAGAGAGAGAGAGTGAGTGTGTGTATCTGTGATATTTTATGTAGATTCCAATGGGGCTTGATCTTTGATCTTTTTGTTAGATGCATCTCTATCAAGCGGTTGTAAAGGAAGGAGAAAAAATTTAAAAAAAAAAAAAGAAAGAGAAGAAGGTTACGTTGATGATCCCAAGCTGCAGGACCAATGGCGGGGATTTTGCAACTTTTTGTGTCTGTGCCTGTGTACCTAGAACCCCGTCTTTTTGTTCATGTTGCTTTTTCTTAAGGTGATGCTGCTGCCGCTTCGGAGAAGGATATGAAAATATGATAATTTGTTGATGGAAAAAAACATTTGCTAGCTATTATGTTTGCCTATATAAAGATGTGCAGTATGAAGATAGGAAATGTTTGGCTATGAATATACATTAACCTGCATCTTCTTCTCTTATTACTATTTCTTTCTTATCTTATCTTCCTGATTCTTACTTCTCATCATTGTTGAAGTAGATTATCTTTTTGTGGGTTCTTTAGATAATTGCTTAAAAATATTGCGAAGCAAATGGCGATGGGGGTTTGGTGAGTATGGTCAATGCCCACAATAAGTTAAAAGAGTGTACGATGTTTTCTGATTAAAACTTAAATTCTAAGCGAGTTAAGTAAAAGAAAAACAAAACGACAAAAGTTCAAATCAAAATCAAATCAAGTGTTAAGTGAATGGGTGATGCTGATGCATTGCAGCCAACTGACAAAGCATAGAATAATTGCACCTCTAACTCTTGTTGTTTAGCTTAGCTAGGCGAGGCAGCGCAGCTCCTGAGTCTCTGACTGAGTGTGAGAGGCTGTGCAAGGCCGACTATGGAGAAAGCTAGAGTCGAACGCCCTTACCAGTAAAATTATTTAAATGGATGGACCTTTTGTGCAGGCATCTGCCCTTCGCTTTCTTCCAGTTTAAACGCTACAAAACAACATATAGTAGTAACATTCTCTCCCTCCATTATAGGATCACATCTTTTTATTCATCATTTCTTCCGTAAAAGGGATGTTCTGTAGCTGCTGCATTGGTTGAAGGAATCTGAACGTAGAGAAGGAAGTCCTTCTGGTTTGTATTTCGTGGCGGAAAGGCAATTGGTTTGGCCCTTCATATTTTGCTTATGTGTAATTTCGTATGAGTCTTTGCTTTGGCCCATGGGCCATGATTTGGGCTTTGAGATATGCGTTGGGCCCACTCACCTTGTAGATGATAGCATCCCACGGTTGGAATCGTTTGTTTCTATCTCTTTTTCTATTTCTTTGAAAACCAAACACTAATGTTTTTCTTGATTGGTGAAATTGTCTTTTCGGATTTTACATCCAACCCTATGATGGTGAAACCATCAAGATAATAGGATGAAAATAGATTAAGATATTTTTATGGTGTTTCCTAGGGTTGTATGCGAGTCGAGTCGCTCGCAAGTAGGCTCGTGTCGAGCCGAGCCTTGAGCCATCGAGTACTCGGCTCGATAGGCTCGCTAATAGCTTGAAAGGGTATAAGTGCAACATTTTCAAGTATGGGGATATATGTTATTTAACATTTACCATATACATTATTCCAAATTGCAAAAACCCTAGAGTCTTCTACTTCAGCAGCCAACACTTCTCATTTTCTCTTTTCTCTTTTCCTTCTTCTTCTTGTCTTGTCTCTTCTCTTTCTTGTCTCTCCTCTTTTTCTCTTCTTTTTTCCTTCTTCTTCTTGTCTTCTCTCTTCTCTTTCCAGTCTCGCTCATTCCTTAACCAAGCTGCATTTTCTTCTACGAAATGCTTCACATGTTGAAGTGATTGAAAGTAGTAATTCCACAAATGGGTTTGATTTGTTAAATTATTTTATGGTGGATTTGAGTTCATCTTTTGTTCACGAAAGAGAGAGGATGTGATATGTTTGTTTGTAATTGATTTATAATTGTAAATGTAATTTTGATGTGAAAATTTGGTTGGGTATTTTGGTAGATGGGTGTTTTGTAATTTTGATGGCATAGCAAAACTCAACTTTTGATTTTGATTTTTAATACTGTAATTTTGTTCAAGAGAAAGAGGAAGAAACAGACGAGCCAAGCTCGAGCTCAGCAAATCATCTCGAGTTGAGCTTCGAGCTTGGTTTTTAAAGCTCGACGAACCCCAAGCTTGAGCTCGCTAAATTTTTACAAGTTGAGCTTCGAGCACTATGGTGTTCGACTCGGTTCGGCTCGTATACAACCTTAGTGTTCCCATGAGTTTACCTAATGTTAGAACAAGGATATTGACTACCAACTTCAATGCGTGTATCAATGCCACCACGTGGATGATAGCATCCCACAGTTGGAATCGTTTGTTTCTATTCTCTTTTTCTATTTCTTTGAAAGTCAGACTCCAGTGTTTTTCTTGATTAGTGAAATTGTCTTTTTGGATTTTATGTCCAACCATCTAATGGTGAAGCCATCATGATAATTGGATGAAAATAGATTAAGATATTTTCATGGTGTTCTCATGAGTTTACCTAATGTTAGGGTGAGGATATTGACTACCAACTTTAATGGTGTATCAATGCCACTTTCTTAAAGGAAATTTCGCCCTTTTATAGTGCAAATAAGATCAATGAATTTCTTTAGGATACAATGAAGAATCTGCTTGTATTATGCACAAAACAGAAGCAGACTAGAGAGTGTTTTGATTATACTAGAATTGTAGTCTTCTTTGTTGTGTCTTTTTATAGAAAATCTTACTTCTTATATATGACTGTTGGTACCTTATAAGAGAAGGTACATTTTGGAAAACCCTTTGAGATATGGGCACAACTTTTTGAAGGTACATGACCTTTTGATAATAAACATGTCCAATTAGGAAAATGTCTCACAATCCCTCGCTAGTTTTCTATTTTGATAATACATGTTAGATTCAACAACAATTCTATAAGTAATATGCATAAATAATGGTATTTTGCAATTTGAACCATTACAAAGTGAAAGTTTATTACAACAAATCTGAATAATATGGTAGACAAGCTTTTAACCATACAATCTTTTTGACAAGTTGTACAAAAGTTCACACATATCACTTTGATACCAAAACATCTTAATTGTGGTTGACACGTAAAAGGCCATGTGTCTGTATCATTCATGAGAGATTTTAGAGCCAAGCTCTTAGAAGCGACACCACTTCACTCTCACATAGGTAGACTCTATCAAAAGTGCCCCCCTCTATTTTAGCACTTCGATGAAAAACCATTAATAGGTCTATTAAGAGTAACTCTTAACCTTCCTTTTAAGACTATGAGAACCAAAGAACTATTTTTTGCTTTTGGATGTTAGAGAAAATTTATAGTACTTCTAACCACTCTAATAATGTACTTTGACTGACTGAAATCAAGACTTGATGTTATATCAAGCGTTAAGTTGAGTTTCCATTATTGGTGGTTATATTCAATAGGTTTCAGATCCATCCCTTTTAATGTTTTATTTATCAAGTCTCTCGCTAATCCCTTTGTTAAAGGATCAGCTAGATTTAGACTTGACTTGACATAGTTAATTGTGATTACTCCATTTGAGATTAAATCTCTTAAATAGCTATGTCTAAGTCCAATGTGTCTTGACTTTCCATTATATACATGGTTATAAGTTCTTGATAATGTAGCTTCATTGTCATAATGTATATAAATTGGTGCTATTGGTTTTGGCCCTAATGGTAGCTTAGTAATCTTTTAACACCATGCTAGTGTAAATTACTTGCATTACTGGTGTACCTACTTAAGACTTTTTTCTTTTAATCTATAGATCTAATCTAACCATGCCATGCAATCTTTTAAAATTCAAATGTCCAAGTCTATAATGCTATAAAAATCCAGACTCAACAATATAAGTAGAAACAACTTTATTATTGTCATTGGCAATATTGAGTTTGAATATGCCATCACACAAGTAACCCTTCCCAACAAACATGCCCCCTTTGGACAAAACAAAATTATTTGCCTCAAATACAAGTTTGAACCCAAATTTGTTCAATAAACTACCAAATACAAGATTCTTTCTAACCTCTGGTACATAATACACATTCGTTAATGTTAATTTCTTACCAGATGTAAATTCTAACTCTACTTTTCCTATTTCCTTGACTTGGGCAGTATAGGAGTTTCTCATGAACAACACCATGTCATCTTGTATTGGATCAATGGATTTGAAAAAAATCCTTGTTCTTGCAGACATGTCTTGTCGCACCAAAATCAACCCATCATGCAGAATTATCCTCTAGTAGATTGATCTCATAAATCATTGCTACTAGGTTCTCATTTTTTGCACTAGTAGAGTACTTCTCCTTCTTCTTTTTCCAAAATCGACAGTCTTTCTTGAAGTGGTCATGTTTTCCACAAAAGAAACATTTTGCTTCTTGCTTTTATGTCCAACACCAAGACTATTGAAAACCCTCTTATTTGTAGACTTGGAAGTTTGTTTTTCTTCCACCGTATGAACTTTGGAATCTGGAACTGATTGTTCCTCTGGTTCATCTCGCAAACGAAATTCTTCTTCCACACGCAAAGATTTGGTCAAATCATCAAGTGATATATCATCCTCTTTATGTTTAAGACTTCTTCTGAAATCTCTCCATGATGGGGGTAATTTATCAATTATTGAAGAGACAATGATGGTTTCATCCATATGCATTTTATTCATTTTGAAATGATTTAGAATTCTATCAATTTTACGAAGTTGTTCCATAACAGGTCTATTATCTACCATTTTATAGGAATTAAAACGAGAGACAAGAAATTTGTTACTTGTAGTATCCTATTGTAGTAAGCACTCCTTGATAAATGTCAAATAAGGCATCTGACATTGCATTCAGCACATGTCCCCTGTTGATTTCATCATGATGTTCAAATTTCTATTGTTTCCTTGTTTCAGCAACGGTTTCATTCTCTGTTTCCTTGTTTCAGCAATGGTTTCATTCTCCGTTTCCTTAGGTTTTGGAGTCTTCAGCACATAATCTAGTTGCAAAGAGACCAAAAGAAAATGAATATTTCTCTGCCATCGAATGAAATTTCCTCCATCAAACCTTTCTAACTTCACGAAGTCAGTAGTCATCTCCCTCAGGGTATGAAGTGCAACCATTTTGTTGCAAGATTGAAGTAACATAAAATTTCTTAGAACCAAGATATTGGGTGCGTTTGGTGTAGTATTTTGGATAGGATTTTGAGGATAGTATTGGATTGTTGGATAAGGGAGTATTACGAGGTAAATTTGAAAAATTTATGAAAAAGCCCTTAGGTTTACTAATTTAATTAAAGACCTTACTATATAAAATGGCAAAAACACCCCCACCACCTGCAATGTCAGATTCCGGCCGCCACAGCCGGAATCTGGCCAGAAAATTTCGTTACGGCACAAACCGATCGGATCTGTGCCGTAACGCATCATTATGGCCTTTTCCGGCCAGATCTATGGCCTGTTATGGCCGTCGACGGTAGGAAAGGCCAAAACGACGGCCATTTCTTTGGCCGTCGCTGACGGCCAGATCGGTGTAATTCCGGCCATTTATGATCGGAATTTAGGCCGTTGTATAGATTTCGGCTATCACCGGCGGTGGTTGCCGGAATCTGACAAGTTGGGTTGATGGGGGGGTTTTTGTTAATTTTTTAAAAAAAAAATTAGGAGGCATTTAGTGAAATTAATAACCTTATGGGGTCTAAAAGTAATTAAAAAAATAGGGTAATATTTTTGGAATAGTGTGCCAAACATTATTTGGAGAATATGATTGGGAATATGGATAAAAATAGGGAGCCAAACGCACCCATTGACTACCAACTTCAAGGCGTGTATTAATGCCACTTTCCTAGATAAAATTTCACCTCTTTATAGTGCAAATATGATCAGCGAATTTCTTTATGACACAATGAAGAATTTGCTTGTGTTATGCACAAAACTGAAGCAAACTAGAGAGAGAAGGATTGTTGGTACCTTTTAGAGCAGACTATTTATTATATAGGATTTTTGGTACATTTTAAAGAGAAAGTACCTTTTAGAAAACTCTTTGAGATACGAGCATAACCTTTTGAAGGTACATGACCTTTTGGAGGTACATAACCTTTTGATAATAGACATGCCCAATTAGGAAAATGTCTCACATCCAACACTTTGGGTGCATAAAATTAGAAAAAAATTATCATATTGTGCAAATAGTTACCCTTTTGAAATAGAAGTTTTGCTTATTCTTATTTGTAAAGGCATAGATGGTTAAAAGTTCATAACCATCGTTTATTAAGTAATGTAAAACAAGACGGTTCTTTAAGGTTGTTGCTCAAAGCAACAAAGATTATTTTACCATATAAGTACAACGTTTATTTTAAAGAAATACACCTAATTTGTTAAAACATTTTTATCAGGGCTTATGTCATCACAAACCTGACGCTCAGGTTATTAGTTGGTATCAGTATTACACACAAAAGTTGTTTTTATGCGCTTAGAAACCTGAGGCTCAGGTCAGAAAACTACAAGTAGCTGGATATGAAGTCAAGTCAGAGCTTTGCAAAGATACTTGGAGCTGGTTGCTTAATTTGTGTTAAAAAAAAAATTCGGTAATATTTTTGCTAGCCTTCTATAAGGAAAGTTCCATATATGGTAATCGTAGTTCATAGAAATACTTGAACTTGGAGCTACTAGAAAAGTAGGGTTTATAGGATATAATCATATTTCAAGCAGCTCATAAGAAGTTTTCACCAGTCTACAAGCAAAACCTTCCCGGCTATTCCTCATAACAAGCGTAATTTCTTGGTTTCAGGTTGTACAAGACTTGTTTGTGTGGTGTCGTATTATCCACCATTAAATTTATTTTCAGACCTACAAAAATCGACAATATTAGATGACAGAAGTATATACATTTTGATAGTTATCGATCGTGATCGTTTTTGTATATCTATAAACCTCACCAACTCTCCGCTACTTACGTATGTTGCTTTCTTCTTCATGTAGTTAATGTAAGTCTTTTACAGCTAACTTTGACTATCAAGAATTAAATATGACAGATCATTCATTGACAAATCTTCCCTTGCCAAATGTTACCGACAGGTGCTGGCCTATATTTCCTTGGAGTGTAGCTAATAACTTCTCTCTGCTTACACAACTTTTAGGTTTCTGTATCCACGCCATTATTCAAAAATAAGCTGCGGAAGTTATTTGTGAGATATTTTTGTCGTTGAATTTGATCGATTACTTGTAGAGGTGGGGCTACTCCCAGAATAATCTCCACCACACCTATTCTTAAATTCAATGTCAATGGTGGTCCAACCATAATGTTCTAATGGGTAAAGGCCCGTCTCTAAATTGATGACTTGAGAAATGAATTGCTTATTTGCAATAAAAATGAATCCATTTTATTATCAGGCCAGGCTTTTTTTTTCTTTTGTTTTTGGTTTTTGGGCCATCTGAAATTCTTTCGAAATGTTGGGATATTCTGAAAGAAAGAATGGCCACATGAAAAATGATGGTACTGGTTGTTGAAGGATGTGGATTCCACTTTTGACTTATTCTCATACCCTGACGAAGCAAAGAAATTAGTGGCGCACTCATCTGCGGGAAAAATCAATGACTGACTTGATTCGGAAAAATGGAACTAGACGTGGGATTCTTATTGCCTGAACGGCACTTTTCCACCCGAAGTTTGACCAAAGGATACTGTCCCACCCACGAACTTTGAAAAACACATTTTTCTATCCATTTTTAATCTCCGTTAATGGAATCTGTTGCCTGATAAGGGTAAAGTTGTAAGAAGATTATAATACCCTTTACTACTTGATTTTATAAACATTTCCCCAACCAAACTTTATTAAATTTATTTTTCACCCCTGGTTTGATATATATTAAAGTTAGGGTTAATAAATTATTTTTTTTAAAAAAAAAAGAAAGTTAGTTGTTAAATAAAAAAAAAAAAAAATTTGAAAAAAAATAAAAATTTGAATAAAAAAAGTAGTTGGACCGAGCCGAATGCGACTCAAGCCAAATCGCACTAGGCCGGTTGCGATTGAGTTAGAATCATTGGGTGCGATTCCAACCAACTGATTTTTTTTTGTTTTTGTAACTTTCTTTTTTTAAAATTTTCACAATTTTGTATTTTCAGATTTTTTTTTTTAACAATTTTTCAGTTTTGTTCAGAAACTATGTTATTATATAATTTCATAAAACATATACAATTTCAATGAAATTTTTTTTTTGTGGTTTTATAAATATTTAATTAACAGATATTATTATGAGTTTTAAAAATAATAGATATAATTTTAAATTTTTATAGAAACACAAGTACTTTAAAAGTGAAACCTTCATTGTAATTATATGAGTTGAAGATAGGGGGTTTAAATGGCTAATTTTCAAATTGGTGAAAGTGATTTTATGTGTTTGTAATTAGAGGTGTAAAACTGTAAATAACATTAATTCTATAATATATATTGTGTGAACTGATGAGAATATCTTTTTGCCGTTAAAAAAAATGGGTGGAAATATGTTTTTTTCAAAGTTCGGGTGAGAAATGATATTCACCAAAATTTGGGTGGAAAAATGTCTTTAGTCGATTAAAATGCTAAGGTCAAAGAACATTATTAGTACTTTAGTAGTGAGTCAGTGGCCACTTTCTACATTGTCGTGTTGCTTGATTCGGAACCCAGTTTACTGTCATTCATCAAACCAAAAAATAAAATGATGAAATATAGTACTGAGCGTGCCTTTGAAGTTGGAAGATATCATTTCCACACGTAATTAAATCAGTCTCAGTCCACTCTCTTCTCTCAGGAATTTAAGTGTGTGATTCTGAAAAGCACCATCAAGATGATACCGTCCCCCAAGGCTTACCTTCATATTGGAAAATTTGTTTGCCCAGAGGATTCTTGTGGGGTCTAATTATTTGCTCAATTTATTAAAATGAAAACACTCATTCTCATTAGTACCACCAACCCAACAACAGGCATAGACTGTAGACTTCAACACCTGAAAGTTGAAATTTATATTTAATAAAGTAATCAAATGGACATGATCAGTGTTGCATACTTTCACTTTATATCTGTAAGAAAAGCTTACAGTGATAATCTAATATTCCTCCTAGCTAGGTAGAGATTGGAGCAAGGTTTCCACCAAAATGGCATGGGTAGTTCAATTACGAAATTTTTAACTAAACTCAGAGATTTTGATAAGAGTTCTCGTAGTGGTTGCATGATTATATATTGAGATAACTCCACCCTCCACTTTCTTTCACGCTCCACCACCACCATTGACCTTACCCACCTGTAAATGGGCGCATTAGATAAGCAGCATCGCACTTTAGGTGAATCTTATCGGATTTAGAGCTGTGAACAGTTTACACACAACTTACCATCATATCGCTATTTATACCACTAGCTTTGCTGGAAGTTTTTCTTCATTAGAGCCATTGCAGAATTAGAGAGTTAGCAAACTCAAGCCATGAAAGGCCTCACTATTGTTTTTTTTTCAGTATTCTGTGTCTTGCTTTTCTCGTTCTTTGTTGTTACGAGAGCAGATCAAACCAAGAATAATGGGGTTTATATCGTGTATATGGGAGCAGTGGCTTCGCCAAGTGGTTCGTTAAGGCACGAGCATGCTCAGCTACTGGCCTCTGTGTCAAAACGGTGAGTCTACTCTTTGAAATTTTCACTGTTTGTTTCTTATTAATTGTCAATTCATAACGTTAATAAGTAGTTTTCCTGTAGAGACAACTAATGCCATGCCATGTGCACTAA